GTAGCTTCTAGGAGCTAGAAAAGGCAAGGAAACAGATTTTTCCCTAGAGCCTCCAGAAGGGTACATAGCCCTGCCGACAACTTGATCTTAGCCCAGTGAGATCCTTGTTGGACTTCTAAATACAGAACTGTAAGAAATAGATTCTCGTTGTTTTGAGCCACTAAGTTTGTGGCAGTTTACTGTAGCAGCAGGAGAAAACGAATAGTTACTGTGCATTCTCTGGGAAGGAAAACATCTAAACCATAGAGTTTTGTTGCACAAACCTTTCCTTATTCTCCTGAGAATAACTGTTGTCTTTTTTTTTTTTTTTTTAACTCTGTGGTTTGCCATACTGTCTGGTTTTAGAGTTTTATAAGGGTATTTTCACAATATTTTACTCAAACTTAATTAAAAATTTTCTTGATCAGACTATTGAGCCTTCTACTAAACACGTTTTTCTGTTCTCAATAATATATGTACTGATCCCTTCCAAGAACCTGTATTCTAGGGTTATTGGGACATTGTAGGCCATGGTCCAGCCACTGAATCTCAGCCTTCCCCTTGTTATGTGTACTTAGTTCTTGATTTCCTACATGCTCTGTTATCTTCCAAAATCATAACACTGAACTATGTCACCAAAGCCTTTGACTTTAACCCAAATATTTAGACTATAAGTTCTTTTGAAAGCACCATTCATATAAACTAGGTAAAAATGGGGGCTTGTTGGTAGCTTTCATATGCATTTAATATATTTACTTTACATCCTTATATATCCTCTAGGAAAACAACACACCTCCTCTTCAGCCTCATTGGTTTTATGTGTGGCTATTTCCATTCTGTTCTCCAAACCAAAACATCACAAACCTCCTCTACGTCCAGTCTCCTTAGTGCCGGTGACAAGTTTTTCATTACTTCCCAATACATGTTAACCCTCCATATTTTATGTGAAGCATGGGATGTGGCTTCCTTTTGCGAAGGCTTAGCTTTATTCTCTGGGATGTGGCTCATCCCTCTTCACTAATTTCAAGGGGGCACAGAAAAAAAACCAAACAACAAAAACACTGCCTCTCCTCAGTGTTTCATAAGAACCTCAACACTAATTTTGATTCTGCTTGGTCTCCTTGAAGTCTTTTTTTTTTCTGCTTTCTTTCCTGGATTGGGTGTACCCCATGCTGTCTAAAGACCATTCATTCTGATGGTTTTCACGTGTTTCACCTTCTATGTCAGAGAGACCAGCTTACATTTATGGAACATACAACGGGGGGCCCCCTGAGGCAGAAGGTTAACTTATGAGCCTGACGCTCTTCATTTACCCTGCAGAAGCCACACCATTGTTTTTGGAGTCAGCTTTACTTCAATCTCTTAAATCAGCCTTGCCTATAATCAAGGGCTTTTTAGAAGTTCCTAGGTCAACAATTTGGAATTTCAATAGTGGCTAATCTTGCTGCATGTTCTGCACTATCATTGTACAATAAGTTTTAAACACGACTCTTCCTAGCATTTTGATACATCAACATGTGCTTGGAATTAAATAATTGAGTGCTTACTATGTACCATGAGGCCCACATTCATTATTTTCCTTGAATCTTCATGATTACGAGATGTATCATGTCCTTGTATTATCCGCATTTTGGGATTAAACAACAACAACAACAACAACAACTGGGCTTAGAGAGTCTAAGTGATTTCCTCTAAGTCTTGCAGCAAGTAAGAGGTGGGGATGGAATTCAAGCCCAGGGCCTAAGTGTGTCTGCTTACTATGTAGCTCATGGCTCACAGCCAGCACCATTGCCTGCTCTATCTACCCCTGCTTTCTTCTTGGCATTGGTTTCTTGTTGTCAGTTTAATCACTGCCACTGATAATGAGGTTAACCCAAGGATGCATTCAACTCAATAGAAGTGTGTGTGTCGGGGGGGGGCAGGTGGGGTGGAGGGAAGAGAGAAAGAGAGAGATTGACTTTAAGGGCATTTTTTTGGAAGGGCATTTTTGAGGGCATTCATGTGTGTGCAGACATGGGAGTGATATGAAAAGTACTTGTCAACCTGTAATCGTCAACTAATTAGAATGAGTATCTGTTATAACACTGGTGCTGGAGGCACCTTACTATGACGGGTGTTACCCCATTAGTTGGTGGATCTTAGGGGTGGTCTGAGAGATTCCAGGGGAAGGCACTTAGGGATCCTCATACTGTAGCCATTTATCAACTGACAGCAGAAATTTCAATATTTTTGCATAGAGTATCAGCCCTATATGGGTGGATCTGAGGGAAGGAAAGAAGATTTCAGAGTGAGGTAAAGCTATTGCGTCCTCAAAGGTATATTTGAAATACGTTAAATTGATGTAACAAATCAAGTGTCATCCTGTTCCAGTCCTTCCTTTACAGAGCAGCCAGAATAATCTTTCTAAAACAAATTCTGACCATTTCATTCATTCCTCTGTCTAAAACTGTATGATGGACCCCGTGTCTGTCTCCTCCCAGATAAGAAACTCCTCAGCTTGGTGTTCATGAAACCATGTGATCTGGTCTCTGGTTGCCTTTTGAGCATATTCCCTCCCTCCCAACACACACACACACACACACACACACACACACACACACACACACACCCCTTATCCTCTCAACGTATCAAAACTATTTGATATTTCTGGAATACAGTGTGTTAACTCACGTACTTTTGCTCAAGAAGTTCCATCCTGGAAATCTCCTACTAATCCTTCAGGACTGAACCAAACATTGTTTCTCTGGGAAGCTCACTTCTATCTGGGCTTCACTAAAAGCACATACATAGCTTTTTCTTAGTTCTGATTACCCCTGTCAAAACTGTCGTGTTGTATGTCAGCCTCTCACTTCAGATTGCGAACTCCATGCCCGTATTGTCCACAGCAGCTATCTTTCTTCATCCCTGCAGCCTCTCCTGTTAGTTCATTGCCTAATTCACGGTAGGTACTCAAGAAATACTCAAGAGGATAGAGCATAAAGCATTTGCTTCCATAATCTCACTGATCCATACATACCAAGGATGTGAGGTGCTGGAGCTGAGGTACAGAGGGTTTTGTGCATCACACAGCCCTTATGTGGTAGGGCCACATATAATCCAGTCTTCTAACTCCAGAAGGGAAAATTTGGTGACATTGTACCTTTTTATAATACTCCAATAATTAATCCAGAAAAATCAAGGTAGAACCTTTTTGGGATATACCTCCCCTAAGGCTGGATTCGTTTCCCTCTCTAATGTCTTCCCCTGGTTACACCTATTCATTAGGTCCTGCTGCATCAGGAAGTTTACATGAGCCTTTCTTTTGGAGAAGAGTGTCTTAATTGCAAAGTCTCCTTACAACGTATGCCTTGAGTCTTGGGCTGGTTTGGGTCCTTCCTCTGTCTGTCCCGCCTTCTCTCCTCTTGACTGTTGGCTTTCTCTGGTCCTCCACACCCAGATGTTCCAGGACCAATGACTCTCCTTTGAATTCTGGTTCCTCACATGGTCCTTGGGATCCACCAAGTCCCCCAACCCCCTAAGGTGTTTTCTAGGAATCTATGGCAAGTACGACTTTTAAACCATGACCTTATGCAGAGCTTATGGGCAGATGTGCTGCCTATTTGTCTTTTAACGTTCCTCTCCAGTATGGCTAGAGATGCTCACCTCCAGCTCCGGGGTCCCATCTTAACCTTGGCGTCCTCGATGCTAGATTTCTCAAACTATCACCACAGTTCTTTGCTGCCCATGGCAATAGTATGGCAGTAAATTTCACTTTGGCTTTACATTGCGTAGAAGCGTAGCTTACAGATGACTATAAATTCCACAAGTAGCCAGTGAAATATTCTGTATAGTCTTGGAATTGGCTTTAGACAGTTCCTGCATGCTGACATTGTTTTCAAGTGAAAGTAAGCAAAGGAAGGTCCAGAGCTGTGCTGTCCAATATGGTAGCCATATGTGGCTATTAGGCCTTGCAATATGGTCAGTCCTATTTGAGATGTTCTGTAAGTATAAAACACACACTTGATTTCAAATATAGTATGAAAAAAATGTAAAATGTATCCTTAATAGTTTTGATGTTGATTATATGTTGAATGATGCTATTTGAGGTATTTAAAGGTTAAAGGAAATAAGTTGTTAAAATCAATTTCTTCTATTTATCTTTACTTTTTAAATGTGGATAACAAAACACGGAAAATTCCATATGTGGCTTGCACAATTTGCTATTTGACTGCACTGCTCCAGAGGATTTGCCTGGTGGCTCTTTAATATTAGTAAGCTAAATGTGTACAGATAGACTAGAAAGTTAGTGCATAATGAAAAAGCAGAAAAGGTTATGAATGACAGAAGGAAGCTTCTGCTCAGATTTTTAAATTTCTGTTCCCTGAATACACTGACATGCCACCTGCCTGACAAGCTTTTAAGAAGGTCTGATAATCCCCAGAGAAATGAGGCTGAACCAAATGGCATCTGTCTAAGGCTCGCTGCATGGTTCCTAACCTCAGAGGCTTAAAATCAATATTGATTTTTGTCATTTATTTTACCCTGGCATTTAAATATCCCTTAGATTTATTGCCTTCAGGTTTTTGGTTAAGATTCAGCGATGGGTGTGATAGCAGGGGTGGTGATAAGTTATGTAGATACCATTTAATTTATGAACTCTGGAGCTCTGGGGTAGTTTTCAGTTCAAGAAATATATTAACCACATACACATCACCCTTCATTTTGCGGTGAGAATTTCCAAGCTGGGTCCCTATTGTGCCCCTTAATTTATGGTCTGGCCAGGTACCTGGATCTGAGCACAATATTTCAATATAAGTTGCTCCCGCATTCAGAGGAGAAGAAGACGGGCTTCAAAGAAGCCAGCTGGACAGCTGATGGATTGCTCTCTCTCTCTCCTCTATGTAGGCTGGGGCCTTAAGTAGCTTTTAAAGCTTGTCAGTGGTTTGGGTCTTTTTCTGCTCTGAGAAGCTGCACGCACTGGCCTAGACAAGCGGAATCAGCCATGCTGCAGCAGGCAGAGGGCAGCTCCCAGAGTTACTTACGTTGACAGCCGGAGTGCCAGGAATTTCCCGGCAGACACTCATCACACTTAGGCCCTGTTGTTCCCGTCTTACACTCACAAAATCCTGAGCCATTACAACGATCATGGACTGAGCCCAAAGGGTTACAATAACACTCTGTAGAAACAAGACAACACACAGGCTGGAGACAAGTCTGCATGGCTTATAGGTTATCAACACAGGAGCGTCACTTAAATGCATCGCTTACTTAAAGGAAGATGTCCGCTAATGAAATGCTTTGGCAAATAGGGCGATTTTGGCCCTCTGTATTGATTTCTCCGCCTGCCATGATGCCATTTTTATGATATGGGAGGAAATTAACTGAAAACTTTTGAGGAAATAAGACATCATGCTCTTCATGGCTAACAGATCATAATAGAGATTCCATTTGTTAGGGCATTTTTGGATGGTTTAATGAACACCATGAGAAGTTTGTATATCAAGTATAAATCAATATGCCATCAGTGTAAAATCTGTTTTAAATTATTCAAATAGGCTTATCTGTTACACTCAATATTTGAGAACTGCTGAACATTGTTAAAGTTCAATATGAATGCACTTTGTTCTTTCAAAGGCATTTTTACTGTATGATTTGGGAGAGCACTTTAACTTATATGTGAGGAGCCTGTAGATGTTGTTTAGGTGCTAGGCATGTTAGTACGGTTTTCATGCAGCCTAGATTAACAGTCATGAAAGAAAAATAAAGTTTGTAATCCCAAGTAAATTTCAACCTAGGCATAATTTGAGACGTGTTTTTTAGGACAATACAACTTTTGTCTAGTAAAAAGTAAATAGAATATTTTCTCAATGACTTACACATTCTTATACACGATATTTTTGCTCCGGAAGCTCTATTTTGCTGAAAGGCTGAAGCTGATATGGGAATTGCTTAGGTTTCCATTAGTTTGAAAGGCAACAATGGCTAGTTTGCAGCTTTTGGAATTTGGGGGCCAAGGTTTCTTTCCTCATTACCCTACTGTATAATCTGGGCAAGCCTCTCTGTCGCTCTGTTTCCTTTATATCAAAATACCCCATTAAGAGGTTTTCTTTTTAAAAACCAAATAAAATACCGACAAACCAACCAAGAGAAGCCCTGAGAACTTCAGCTTATAAGCATCAAGTTTAGCGTTTTAGATTGGCAACAGAGATTCAAGCTTTAACGTTACAAAGAGGTCTGGAGGTTTGGCTCTGTTTTTGTCATTGGGATTAATTTGACAATTTCGTCAAAGAATGTAGAGGGTCTTAGAATTATGACTTATTTCATGTTGATTAAGTCAGTTTTTGAGTTCAGCATTATTGTGATACAAACCTAAGACTAATAGAGACATATAAAAAATAAAACTAAATAAACTAAATGCTCCCTCTTTGCCTGGCTTGGTTTGTGCTTAATAACTAGAGTTTTATTTTAAGTGGACATTTTTTATTTTAACGTGTGTGTATATGGGAGTTGTTTTTTAAAATAGTGATTTTGTTGTGGCTTTAAAAACGTGTGTACATTTATATTATAAGTATATATTTATAACTACTCAACATTTACTTTGTTTCTTACTATTTAAAGTGTATAAGTTGACAATGAGTCACCAACACTTCGTAAACCAAGGAGTAGAGTTATATCTGGCCAACATGACTTCATGTGCTACTCTAATCAATTAGCTCACAGCAATTATATTAATATAAGGGTTTAGATGCAAAGAAAGTAAACAAAATTTTTTAAAAATGTGGAACATCTACACCATAGGATATCCCGGTAGTTGTCATAGGAAAAAGTGATGAAGTGTAGTGTTATTCAAACAGTAATGAAAATAAGTGACAAGGAGAGGTGTGGTCTACACGACACCTTATGTACAAATAACTTAGTTTTTAAAAAATATCATTTGTGGGACCACAGTCAATGGTAGATATTGGTGATGGCCTTGGAGTATTATATTTTATTCCATGAAATTAGAAAGAATATGCAGGACTATTAGGCTAAAACAACATGAAATATTTTTGGAGGTTTGATTAAAAAGTTATACTACAATTGATTTATAGGTGTTAGAAGTGTTTTATCTATAGAAGGTACCTCTGGTTACCTGATCTTGGGTTTCAAGGGGTATAAAAAATAATACAGCCTAATTTGAGATATGTTTAATAGTAACTGCTGAGCCCTGTGTTTCATTCTGATGTCAAACTTGTTATCAGAGATTATTGGCAGTGATTACCCAAGGTCACGAACCACATATCCTCTAGCTTCCTGCTTAATGCTTGAGTTTATATGAAACAGAAGCATGCAAAGGTGTCAGCTTCATGTAATTGCTGCGTCATACAGGGTAATTACATGCATCTTTGGAGACATGGCTATGCTTGGAATTTGTATGAAAATGGGTAAGTTCACCGGTAGTCACAAAGAAGCAATCACTGTGAAAACACGGAATAGTCTGCATTTTATATTTGCCATAATATAAAATGATGCAAATAGTTTATGACATCTATTTCAATGCAGTCTACATTTTGTCAAAGATAGGGGCTATTCCCTTATAACCAGGGTGGTGGATTTCACTGTCATTTGTTAAAGAAATGGCAAAGTGCCTTTCTTTTCCTCAGAATTAGAGAAGACTTAGATGAAGTTCAAATTTTCCAAGATTGGTGCTTAATTCTGTGAAAGTGAATTAGGTCAATATCCATTCATTTTCATTTGTGCTTTCTATGCAAAAAGGTATTAAACTCTCAATTACTTGTGGTGTATGCTCTTAAATTTAATTCTCAGTCCTGCCTCAAGCCTCTTGGGGAGCTGAATTGTGGAAAACAGGGAATGGGTTCATGCTTTTCCATAGGGCAAACCTTGGCAATAGGGAGCCACAGGCTACCAATGGCCCTCAGAGAGCAAACTCCAGCCTTAGCCTGGTGGATAGGCAGCCCTGATACCTCAGGTGGGAAAAGCAAAATCCATAGCTCTTGTAGGAAATTGTTATTGATTCATGGTATGCATATATAGACTCAAGACAAAAGATAGACTGTGACATATGCCAGCTAGCCACATTTTTCAATTTCTTCTTTACAAACAATTTTACCCCTTAGGAAAAGGGCAGCAATTTAAGGAATTTTGGCATGTGGGGAATATTATAGCTAATTTTAATGGTACCTAAAAATTCTCATCTTTGGGTTTACCGATTTACTTGGTTTGAAGAGGATAAAATACTGAATAGAAACATGTTTGTTTCAACAAAATAAAATTCCCCAAAGATTTATAATTTTAACCAATGAACTTTCTAGAAATGGAGAAAACAACTGCTTTTGATTTTTTTATGTAGGAAAAATGGATATTAAGCTTTCCATATTTCATCTCTAGTTCATGCTATTTAAAAGACAAAAGCTAAATAGGCTGTCTTCCTGTCTGGATATAATCCAACATAGATTTACGACACAACTGTACCTCCTAAAATTGAATAGGAAGTGCAGATTTTATAGTTCATAAGGTTATTTTAGGACTGGAAAAAGGCCAAAGTTCATAAGAATAGAATATTCTGAGTAAAACATTGGGATATTGTTGTTACCTATTAAATATTATATGGAATAAAATCTTTTCTTTTAGGGCCTTTTCTCTGTTCATTTAAAATAATATGAAATTAACACTGTAAAATATTTTAATCTTAGGTATTTTACATAAATGATTTTTATTCCTCTGTTCCTATTTATTTTACCTTTTCTCTTGTTTCCATATTTATAGTATGACATTTATATACTTTGACAAATGACATTCAGTGAAATGTAACTCTGCATTCGAAATTCTGACAGCTACATGTCTTTTGGGTTATTAATAACCTCAAATCTTTGTAACCCCAGTAGTTGTAAAGGCAATTGAACTTCTGTTCGCAAGCTCATAGTGGAATTGTTACTGTCATCCAAAAAAGCATACCATAAGTAGAAGTCTGACAAGCTTAGTTTTGTTAATTATGTCAGGATATTTGGGAGAAGGAGTTCAAGCTTTGAAGTCAGAAAACTAACTCTTCACGAAACCTATATGATTTGGGTCAATTTGCCTTACTTTTCTCAACTAGAAAATAGAGGAAATTATCAGTGGAATACTTACCCCACAGTTTTGTTAATGAGGATTAAGTAGAAAAAACATATCTGCAAGTGAGTTCACAGTTTACCAAGTGTTTCCTGTGTATCCCATATGATCCCAGTGTGACCAGGAGTTCTGAAATAACTTACCTAAAACACACAGCTATTAAATAGCAAACTGGGACGTGAACCCAGCTCTTCGGCCTCTAAGTCCAGTGATTTCTCCACTAATTCACAAATAATAAATAAGGAGGCACTTTGAAAAATAGAACATACTGTAGATATAAACAGTATTACATAAACTTGGCCTAACTGAATTCAAAACAACTTGTATAGCTATATTATGTGATCCTGGGCAAGTGGCTATATGACCTTGACAATCCAATCAGAAAACAGTGACCCCAGAATTGCAGGTTAATTAGATTTCTTTTTTGATCAAAAGACTGCCTGCCATTTTTCAGCATGTGTTTTCTATTTAAATTAGTCTCTATGTGCAAAATTCTACTTTTAAAATTAGTTGACTAAGTCATTACCTGCTGGTGAGGTAACAGATATGCACATACCCTTGACCATTTCAAATATATGCGTTTCTTAAAAGTAAATTGTGAAGTGAAATTCCATTTATTATTTCTTATTTTTCCATCAGCTCCCTTTCTTAAAGATGGGTTCCACTATGCAAAAGGTAGGAGAAACTTTTTTGGGTGGGAAGGGCAGGTTCTCTCCAGTTGACCTGAGCAGTAGTCATGGTGGGTGGGGGAGAGTGCTCGAGAGAACCCTGTGGACCCAGTTTTCCAGAGCTTATTTACCTTGGAAGCTAAGAGAATTAATTGCTTAGAATAGCTTTGAGAAATTGCTTCTCCTTTGGGGGGATATAAGAAAATTAAATAAATGGAATTTCATTACTATGGATGGAAAAGTCAGGCAAACTTCTATATTACCAATTGCTAATGGCTTTCAATTCCAAATGGCAATATTTTTAATCAATTGATATTTGTTGGTTACCAGTTATATGCAAGAGTTTATCCTAATTTCTCATAGCTAGAATTAAATCCCATATAGTGAGTTTCCATCTTAAAAGTTGAATGCACAACTTAAGACTTTATCAGTTTGATATTACCAGGTTTTAAGATTGCATGCAAAAAAAAAAAAAAAAAGGAAGAAAGAATAATAGAAAATTCTTTATCTTCTAAACATGATTTTTGGCTCACCATCTTTAAAGCAACAATAACATAAGGATTCAGGATATATCCCCCAATTCAACCAGCACAAGAGAATTTTAAATCTACCACAAGGATGTTTTCTCCATTGAGAAAGTTCATTCTGGCTCAGCCGTGGTGCAACTCAACAGCCTCTTCACCTTAAATAGCTCCCCATAGCTCGAAAGGCACAGAACAATAGCTGAAATTATAATGGAACTGACCTATGCACACATTCTCATCGTCCAGCTGTGCAGAAGCATTTCTGAAGTAGCCCAGCCTGCATAACTCACAGTGCTGCCCTCTAGTGTTGTGTTTACAGCTCACGCAAATGACTGTATTGAGCAGATCGATATAACTGCATCGATTGGAGTGGCCGAAGCATTCACAATCTTGCAAGGAAGAACAGAAATGTATACAGAGTGTATACAGCAGCAGAGTCACAGCACACTACATGCTTGGATAAAATGAGGAGTGGAGAAGAGATGGCGGGATGGCATTACATCTATGTGATGCAACATGACACATGGCAACCACAGGTGGTGGTGATTGGCATGGAAGTAGCATCTGTTTCAAGCAGGATAGAAAGGTTGGACACTCAGAACATGACTGGAGAGTGCTAATTCTTGGCATACAGTATGAACAGAAGCATTTGCAGGTGTACACCTTTTAAAATTTGGGAAGGCTCAGTTGCCATTGATGCAAAAGTCTAATTTTTGCACGTTGAGAAATTTACTGTCTTGGTGCCACTTCCCCCATTTTTTCTTCATATTTGCACTCTTAAAAAGAGGGAGGGAAGTATGTGAGTATCGAGGGCCTGAGCCTACCATCACCCATGACTCCTCTGTTTGGAGTCTCATTATCATTTATGTCAAGACAGTAACTTGGTCAGGATTTCCAGAAATTATGGCAAATTTCATAGGGATCTAGACAACTAAACAAGTCTCTCTTTTTGTTTTTTTCCAAATGCTAAGAGGGAAGACAGCTTTTGTAAGCCTTTCATCAGGCCACATCTGATGTTTGTTTATCTGTGAGAGAAAATATAAAAAGCAGGGAGAAGATTTGTATGGGAAAAGTGCTCTTAAGATTTCCTTTTCACCCAAGTTTCAAGCTAAGTCTGCTACAAAAGAAGGATTAGGCAGCTAATGATTAGGCAGTACCCTCAGATTTCCTTTTCTTTGTTTCCCCAGGATGTTGGAGGTGCCTCTGAGGCTGAGGCTTGAAGGTGGGAAGAACTAGACAAAGAGATGGGGAGAGGAGAGCAGGTGGGGAAGGGTGGAGAGTGACTAGATTTTCTCTCTGTTGTATCTCAGGGAAGCAAGAAGTTGTTCATCTAATTCAGCGTTTTTCAAAGAAGTGGTAAAGACAAAGCCTTTATGGGTGGAAATAAGTATCAAATCAGACAGAAAAAAAAGGTGGGAGGAGTAAGTATGTGGGGAAGCTAATTTGTCTTGTCAAAATATGGGAGTAGGCCTACCTGGACATTGATGAGGAAGGTCAATTGTGAGAGTAAACCTTGTTTGTCTAGTCTAAAAATGCTCCTCTTATTAAAAGTCTGGCTTTTATTTTACCTCACTATGAAGCCAAACACAGCCACTATTTGAGCTCATTCATTCATTCATTCATTCAATAAATATTTTATTGGGTTGATCTACCATGTGCCAGGCACTATGCAAATGGCTGAGTTACTCTTTTGGCCTAGATAGATTTTGGAAGTAGTGCATTTGATGAGCAGAGGAAAGATGAATGGGCACTGTCAAAATGAATAAGGAGGAATAAGGAAGAGTGACTAGAATTTTTTTTTTAACATGCTGCTACTCCTCAGAATGGTGTGGGTTCATTTAGTGCAGAGCCAGTTGCTATAGTAGAGAATGGAGGTTGAGATCCTGAGAGAATAAAATCAAATTTGGATAGAAGCAGAGGAGGACACTAGAAATTGTAAAGAATGGAAGATAACCAGGAATAGGGTCAGCACCTTGGGGACTTCAGATGCTTAAAAAGAAGCAAGAAGAGGGAGGCTCCTGTAGGCAAGCCACTTCCTTTAGGGGAGGCTAGCTTTGTCATGTGTCTAAGTGTGCTGGGGCCTGGGATTGGGAGGAAGCAGAGAGAGCGAAGGAGAACAGAGTGGGAAGGGGGCCTTTGGGACTTGGATGTGGGAGATGGGGTAAGAACACACCTGCATAAATGCAGTAGTTAAGGCATGCCACATTATTAATAATAAAATAATAACAACAAAAATAACACAATTACAGATCACCAAATTAAATATTCTTGGAAAACAAACATTTCACTCCAATACACTATATCTCCCCAAGTTACACCTTGTTTATGCTGGCATTTCTGACTTGCTAGGAAACCTAAAAGGCCTCTAGAACCTTCCTTGGTTGAGGATTTGAAACGGGGAGAAACTTTCTGGTCTAGAGCCATCCAAGAATAGAGGTTGCAGGAAGGAGACACAATTCTCAAATCTAATTGCTTCTCGGGACTTCTCCAGAGCTGCCTGGAATTGCTGAGGACTGGGCACCAACAGCCCTGTCCTCTGGCTCTCCCTCTCCAGAAGAGGTTCCTTGGTGGTGGTTGTTCTTCACATTTGCCAGCTCAGGTTGGCCCTTGGTGCACCTACTATAATTTATCCAGCTTTTTTCAAAGGCATCATTTATGTGCATAAATTGATCCCAGGAACTTTTTGAAACTACACAGAAGTACTTGTTGTCAAAAAGCTTGTTTTGTGGGCAAGACAAACACATGCTTAGAATAACTAGAAAACAAAGGAGCATGTGCTAAGAAAACCAGACAGAGACACAGAGCGATCTAAGGAGAAATTCATTTAACTTGACGGGAATTAGGAAAAACTAACTTAACACTGGGCTTAACACCGAGTCTTCTGTGAGGGTACAAAGGGTTTATTAGGGGAAAAAAAGGCAAGGTGTGAGGGATGAGTATTTCAGGTGAAAGGGGAATAGAGCGTGCAAAGGTATGAAGTTGGGGTAAGTGTAGAGAATAAGGCTGGAGAAGTTTCATAATGTAGTTCCTTTGTGGGTATTTGAAGGGTTCTTTCTATAAGATCTGTCCAATGGCCAGAGCTATATGCTGAGCTCCATCTGACAGTTTTATCCAAGCAAGAAAACATATCCATAGATATCCAAGTTCAACACTTTCAAGACCCAGCCCATGAATCTCCACAGACACGTCAAATGTCACACTACTGTCTACTATTCTTTGAATTCAATGGATAGTATACATTTTCGTGATAACATTATTTGTTTCTGGGTCTTGTTTGAGAACCGATTTATTATTTTCAGTAGGAAAAGATAAATAATATAAGTTGTATAAATAATTATATATAGAACCATATCAGCAGAACACCCAATATTAATACATTTATTTTAGAAGATAAGTGGATATCCAAATGTCTTTTAATCTAGGAAATAGGGTAGCAGTTTGATTCTTTTAAGACTTCTAAGACTCTTCTGAAACTTCAATAAAGCTGTCTTCTCTGGCCATGATATATTTGAGAATGTAAAATGAGAAAAAGATCTTTGAAAAACATGAGAGCACTGTATAAATGTAAGGCATCTCAAATGTAATTATTAGGCTGCTGTATTATTTTTCAGTATCCTGTTAATCTACCACTCTTTAGGAACTAGTCTTTCCATGTAGGCACAGAATCCTTGAATGATCATTAATGATGCTGTCTGAGCTACATTATCATATTAAGACCCTGCAGGGATGATATTAATAGTTCAATAATTCTTTGATCTTCCAGTTCATTGACTTACCATGTCCTCCCTTCCCTTCTTACAAAGTATAGAGTCCATGGTCCATCCTTACAGTGACTTCCTTTCATACACTCTCATCTCCCTTGTCCCCCATGGTGTCCCGTGCCCACCCCAATCATAGTCTCCTGGGAAAACCTGATCCTGCTTCAATACAACTCTCCACCTCTCCATGCCTATACCCCAGCAGCTAAATGTGGCTGGAGTTTTTCTCCAACTATTTTGAAACAAGTCTCATTTTAAGTTCATGACCATAAACCTCAAAGGGACCTTTAGGATTGCCAGGCAACCCTTCCTGAAATAGGGGGCTTCTGGGCCACCACTCTCTTTTGCTTCTCCTTCTTCCCTACTCACTGATGTAGGAAAGACATTAGGGTCCGAAGCCGACAGCCAAGAGAGAATTTCTTTAGACGTCTTTGGTGCAAAAATATGGCTTTATTAAAGCATGGGGACAGGACCCGTGGGCAGAAGGAGCTGCACCGGGGTCAGGAGGAATGGCCCATTATATACTTTCAAGTTGGGAGGGGGTTAGGGATAGCATAAGTCTCTAAGGAATTTTGGAAGCAAGGTTTCCAGGACCTTGGGGGACTAGCTATTGTTGGGAAAAGGTCATTTATTACCGTCTAATAAAACCTTAGTCATGAGACCCTTCATATGTATATCGGTGGGCCATATGCTTGGCAGATGATTGCCAACATGTATCTTGGGGGTTTAAAGATAAAGGAATTTTTATATGTTAAAGTAGACTTACAGAGTCCTGAGGGTCAGGTTAGGATTGCCTTTAGCCCTTAGGAAAGTGTCAACATCAAGGCAGCTGAATCCCTAGAAGAATGTCACTCTGCCTGTTTCAAAGACTTGTCAGTGGGCTGTAGATAGTAAGGAAATTTAATAGTTTTTCTTCTTCCTTTGTTTTCCACATCACTCACCATTGTTTTTCCCTCTCTTTTCTCTTTTTGTCCTTTCTCCTCAAATGTCTCAAGGCTTAGTTCTTGGAACTCTTTGCTCTTTAGGCTCACCCTAGAGCCAGGGTTCTTTACCTAGCTTCATGACTTTATATACCATCTATATGCTAACCTTTCCAAAATAGTTATTTCAGCCTAGATCAACTCACCAGTTAGTGAGACTTCCTCCAAACTGACCTACTCAATTGCATTTTTATTCTACACTTGGACATTTAACGGATATCTCAACTTCAAGACGTCCATAACTGAGCTCTTAGGTTACCTTTCCAAACCTGCTACTCACCCAGGCAGCCCACCCTATCTCAGTAAATGGCAACTTCATTCTTCCAATTGTTTAGCTTAAAATTCCTGGAGTTGTTCTTGATATCTCTTTTTTTCCTCATCCCCGACAAACAATCAATCAGCAGATCTTGGCTATGCTTTTAAAATACATTCTAAATCTCACCACCTCTTACTTATCTCATCTTTAGTTAAAGGCACATGGATTATTGCTTTGGTCCCCAAACTGCTCTCCTGGCTTCCATCCTAGTGATAGTCTCCTCTCCACACATCAGTCAGAGTGACTTTTTCAAAACTTTAATTGGATCATGACATCCCTTTGCTCATAATCCTAATGGCTTCTCATGTCATTCAGAATAAAAGACACAGAGTTTA